TCTGAACATGGTGTAAGCCCAAGCATAGAATACTGGCCACCGCCAAAGTGTAAAAGTGATATTGAATTCAATTGGGGAAATGTCAGAGGCTAAATATGAGTAAATATGAGTTCAGATATAAAACTTTGGCACTGTATTATCATGAGATGGAATGGCTGTCTAGATACAAAGCATGAACACAAAAGACCATCAGATTACATTATGCAGTGTGCTGCCAAGCCCATATTACAGTATTATTATAGCCTAGTGACAGAGGAGCAACAAAACTGCAGAAGCCAATACAGTAATGGGCATCAGATCTCCACACTAGACAGCAGTATGAAGACGAGGCCTGATTGTCACAATACATGCTCTCAGTATACCCTAACTTGAGTGTTATCTTGCCGAAGAAAGGGACAAGGGCATAGGTATTCTATAACCGAAACAAATATGTAGACAAGACAGTCGAGCCTAACACTGTGCATAACATCCCGAGACGTTTGACCATAACATTCAGAGATGTTTTAGGTATCCCACAGCATTTGAAACTCCTGTGGCTGCACAGGGTTCCTAATCGGTGCAAGATTCCTCCAGTAAACATCTGCCATCTTGAAAAAACAATCAAGGGTAGCACGCCATGCATACAAGTGGCTAATTTGAAGGACGGAGATCTAGCTCTTAACCCAATATAGTGCAGCTTTTTTCACAAATAACTCATATAATGAAATTAATGTTGAACTGGATGTATATGAACCTGTTAGTGACTATGATTCTGATACATAGCAACCTGCAAAGCAGCCCACCATGGTTTTTTTTTTTTTTTTTTTTTTTTTTTTTTTTTTAACAAGATGTGATAACCTCATTGAGAATTCACTCACTACACCTCATTCATTACACTTCATTCACTACACCTAATGTGACAATTTTTGTATAGATATTTTTGTGTATGCTCAGGGAATGTTTTTAAAATATACAATGACAAAACTTTTTTTTTCTTCGTGCATAGACACCCCCCAAATGTGTCTTGTAACCATTGTGCAGTTCAGGGGGCAAATCATGATAAACAAAACATACCATGGCCTTAAACACAATTGACACAATGACCAAAATTACACTGTAGCAATGTGCCTAATACAACCACAGTTTTGAGATGAAGTGCCAAGGAGCTGCAAATGTATTGGTTAACTCAAAGAGAATGACCACTGGCGAGAGACTCGCCAAATCTGACAAGATAAATCTGGAAAACAGGTTGGTTTCAGGGTCTCTAAACATGCAACAATTGTGTATGCATGCACACGAGAAGTGTCCACTTTTAGCAAAAGCCAACCGTAAAATAAACCTAAGGATAAAAAGACATGTTCACTTAACTGACACTTACTGTCTCTTCCATCTTGCAGTACACAAGTGAGAAAAATCTGGATGAATGTGAGGTGGGGAGAGTTGGGGAGAACCCTGATTATGTGTAGGTACTGCCACCTGGTGGGTAATCCCCAAGGATATTATTCTCGCTAGCAATTAGTGAGAATAATCTTTGGTAGTCTCCTTAAGTAGTGCTTAGAAGTTCTTTGAGTGTAGTTCAATGTACCATGTAGAAGTTATTCTCTGCTGAATTGAGTATTCTTCATTGTGTCTTTTTTGTATAGCATGACTTGACAGGGACGCCTTGAAAATATACCCGTTATGCCAATGTGGTTTGTCAACCTGACCAGAATGTACATAGCCCTACCCAAGTGGAACAGATCTGAAAGTCTAACAAAAGCAGCATTGTTCATACATTAAAAGTAGAATTTTCTTACTTGTCATACCATGTTGATGTGCAACAACACGACGGTTATTATTTGCAGACCAGTAATTATTTAAGTACAGTGGTACCTTCATTTACGAATTTAATCCGTTACCAGAGATAGCTCCCAACCCAAAAATTCGTAACCCGAAACAAATTTTCCCATAAGAAATAATGTAAATTGAATTAATCCATTCCACACTCCCAAAAACTTCAAAATACATTTCATACATAATAAACACAAATATTTTGTACTATAGTATGTAAAAGTTATAGCTTACCTTTATTGATGACTCTTGTTGGTGTCTGGAAGACGATGAGGAGGGGGGGGGGAGGGAGGGGGAGGAGGAGTTAGTGTTAGGAAGGGAAGTCCCCTTCCATTATAACATCAATCAGGCAGTGATGACTTCTCTGGGGTACTCACTCACTCTCCTACGTTTTACCTGCATTCCACTAGGACCTGGTTGTGGCTCACTGCTTGTTTGTCTCACTAAGAACCTTTCCATAGACTTGTTTTTCCTCTATGGTCATTCTCACATGTGTTTTCATAGGTTGAACCTTGCCACTGACTTTCTTGGGACCCAAGACAAACTTATATATTTAGAAACCAAAATAAAGCTGAAAAAAATTCCTTACAAAGAATTCAAGTGCTCTCGTCGGTACGAGGGAGGCACTGTTAAACTGAGGCGCCGTTGCCCGTTCCACCAGGATCCACGCACTCAGTCGACCCATACATGTATCGACTACCTCTCAACTCGAGGCAAAGCTCAAACTGAATAGAATTTTATGAAGAAATTGAGCTTGTAACCCGAAAAATTCATAAATAGGGGCATTCATAAGCCAAGGTTTCACTGTATTATACTCTATGTGTAACTAACTAAACTATTTTGTACACGTAACTAATATGACAAGTTAGTTAACTTAACAGGTATGTGATGGGTGATAAAACTTTGCAGGCGTGCTACCTGTAATTAACTAAAAATACATTATAATACGTGGAATTATAGCTCAAAAAATTTCGGCAATGATATGTTTGTGTACTTGCGATCAAATTATTAAACCTTTATCATAAGAGATTACTTTTATCCTTTAAATAACACATTTATAAATCACATGATGTACAATCATTACTATAAATCTTAAGTGACAAGTCTTACATTATAAAGTTAGAGAAAGTCAAATCAATGTACAGTATATGAAAGCAATTAACTCGGCCAATCTTTCCTCATCTTTGTGCCTGCTATCTCAAACTATTTCCTGCTCTCATCAGGAGGGAAAGATTGATAAATTTCATACAATGTGACGGATAAGTATCATACAAAATGGATGGACTTTCATCATAAAAAAAAAAAAGAGTTGAAGTCCAATAACTATGTAGTAAAATCGCTGAAACAAAGAGTAAATTTGCATGTAAATTTTTCATTAAAAGTTCCTTGCACACCCCAAATATGATACCTGCAAACACATTTCTAATAAATGTATAATGTCATCAATAACATGTTATAAGGTTTGGGAGTCAACAATGAAAATAAAATCCATGTTTTAAACTACAATATTTACAAACATCTACCATTAAACAGAGTCCACTACCAAAGAAATGAGGTGGAACAGATTAGCCAAGCTTCATAGTAAAATCAAATCAATCCATCTATAACACATGCATAGCACAACAAAGTTAGAAAGACTACCGCTTAATATTCAGCCACTACCAACTCTACCAGCATTATCTATATTACCCATAAATGAAGGGCCAATGAACATACCAGGCCTTGAGAAGCCAACAGTGACACAGCAAGAATATCTGGCGGGCAGATCTGCAAACCTGCCATCTTAATACTACACAAAGGAAAGAGACTGGTCATCAAGCTATGAAGAAATCAAGCATTAGAAATATTGTTGCTTAGAAAGTTGTATAAGAAGCCCAAGAAGAAAAAAAGGTGTGAAAGAAAACACTGTCACATTTGGCCCTTCTTTTATTGGTAACTAGTAGAGTAATATATATACTATGTGACGGCAACTGGGCCGTGAACACTTGCCGTCCAAACATGAGAGAAGGCATCCGTCTTTCAAAATATTATTCACCGAGTATTATATAGACCTTCTTATTGCTAAGTTAATGCTCAATTTATTATAGTCCTAGAATACTGAACACAATTTTAGTTTATATTTATATATATATATATATATATATATATATATATATATATATATATATATATATATATATATATATATATATATATATATATATATATATATAGTATATATATATATATGTGGTATATATACAGTATATGCCAACTTACAACATACTAACTATTACTAGAAAATAATATATATAATTATCTGGGATATAGCATTAGCTAGTAATGCTTAAATAACCATTTAAATCCTTTGAGCAAAATTTGATAGGTTATTGCTAAGTATTATTAGCCTTTACAGAGGTAAATGTGAGCATAGCCAACGTAGACCATGGAAAACTTGTCATTTAGCATCTAGAACTGCAGAAGATCTAGACTATTAGCATTGTCAATGTGAGTATTATTGTTAGCCTGGGTAGCTGCCATGGATGGCTGAACTGGGTGTGCGGACGGCAAGTGACTCGTGTACGGGTGGCTGTTGCTGGACATTCTGGGGAGCATCCTGGGACTCAGGCTGGAGTACTGCTGAGCTGTCCCCTGCACAACCCACCCACAACTATTGTTATTTACCATGTTGTTGCTGTTTAAACTTGAGCATTCCATTCCCCAACTAGTAATGTAGGGCTGGGACTGAGAAGGCACCGTCCTGGACGAGTGATAGGAGGAGAGTTCAGGTTGCATCCTGTTGCCTGCACTGGAGACAGATCTCCCCCCTACTGGACCAGATGTATACATCTGCAGAATCTGTGCTTTTGTAGTTCCCAAACTGGATCTCCCAATCACTCCTCCAGAGTTAACATCAGTAAAGCTAAGCAAATCCTCTGAGCAGGACAGGGAGCTTCTATTCCCATAACCGGTATCGTAAGCATGAGCACTCTGAACACTCGGTGCAAAACTTGGAGTTGACGGAGATGAACGGCAAGCAACATCCCTCCACCATAAGCCCCTGGCTGGCTTGCCTTCAGCATGCAGTTTCTCAGGGCAAAGCATTGAATGGGAAAAGACGGGGGAAGGAGAGGGAAAAGAGGAAGAGGATGATGATGTAGGCGAGAAACTGGAGAAAACAGAATAGGTGGATTGGCACAATGATGCTTTACCTGAGGGTGGGAAAAATGCTTCCATTGATCCTGAGCCTGGCTGAGTGCTCAGACCAGCTGGGTGAGTGCTGCCTGTGCCCGCTGCCGTACTCCCGCCTCCTGCTGATGACCCAAACTGACTAGTAGGGAATGACTGCTGCGCAGGAGGGAAAGTATCAGACCCAAATAAAGCAGCAGGCGGGAAAGCATTGGTGGGACTCAATTCAACTACAGATTGAGATGGCTGTTGCTGTGCCTGACTGTGTTGCTGAAGCTGTTGCTGCTGGGGCTGCTGCTGGGGCTGCTGTTGCTGCTGTGTTAACAGGTGCTGAGGCTGAGTCTGCTGTTGGGTGTTACCACTTTCACTTACTGATACAGCAAGATTTCTCTTCAAGGCTGGAAGAAAATATTTATTAGCATTTATTATGATTGAAATGTAAAAATCCTTTAGCCTCTTGCCTCTTGCTCATCTGCGGGAGGCAAGAGGCTAAAGCACATTTTTTCGTACACGGAAAGGTTTTACAAAACTGCATAAAAAAAAATATATACTGTCAGTTAAATCTGACCGGGAAAAGACTTTTTAATCCACTTCATTGCATCTCTTCAAAATATAAAGGTTGAATGACTGGGCTTCTCGTGAAATGCCAAAATCTCTATTCCTCTGTATACGCCAGTGATGCTTTGCTATCTTTGGTCATCTCCTCTCTGTTGGTGGGCTAGCCTCCTTAAGGATCTCCTCCAGGAATCTGGACTATCTTGGAATATTACCCCTTCCTAAATCCTTCATGAAATTTGACGAGATCTTAAATTACACACAGTGAACAGCATCACAAAAACACTACTGGGAATATCCTACAACTGTATCAAAATACATGGTACCTACAGAATCAAGATTTATATAGGAGCCATGTAATTCACTGGGAGAAAATCAACTATATATATATCATGTTACAATATTATTACAAATCACATCATCAAATTTACAGATGACACAAAGATTTGAAAATAATACTGAAGCCTTACAAAGTGACCTACATGAACGCCACAAATGATCAGAAGACTGGCAAATGTTTTTCAATATCGACAAATGTAAGACCCTGCATGTGGGGCATAACAACCCACACCATGACTACCAAATTAATAACATTACATTACAGCAGATTAATGAAGAAAAGGACCTTGGAGTCAATATCCACCATTCATTATAAGTTACACAACAGGCGGGGAAAAGCAGTTAGAAAAGCTAACCACACTCTTGGGATAATCAAGCATACTTTTGACTACAAGGAAAAGAAGGTAATGATTCAATTGTATAAATCTCTGGTGCACCCCCAAACATCGAGACCTCATTTTCAGAAAGACATCGCTGCTCTGCAGAAGGTGCAACACCTGGCAACAAAAGTCATTCCAGAGGCAAGTCATCTCGTACCAGGAATGCTTTAAGGCCACACGGATAACACTGCAAACCAGGCACGACAGGGCAGATCTCATTGAAACTTAAAATACTGAACAATTTAGAGGATGTTGATCTGGATATTTTTTTCAGAAGGTCAAATACAACACAAACAAGGAGCAACAGTTTCAAGCTCAACAATCCACAATGAAGGACTGAGAACAGGAGATGCTTTTTCACCCACAGGGTTATTAACCCATGGAACTGCCTACCCACCAAAGCCGTAACTGACAAAACTGTGTCGAGTTTTAAAATATACCTGGAAAAGATCAAGGTAAATTGGGGGAACTTTGACAAGTCCTTACTTCCAGGAAGTCCTTCCTGGAAGGACAGGAAGGAAAACTTCCTGTCCTCATCAAGGCCACTAGGGTTAATGGCCCTCGGGTAAATCAGGTAAATAATCCTTCATGACAAATTGTGATAATTTATGCTGAAAACTACTTGGCTATTCATAAACAAGGTTTCCAAATCTTTATGTACTATATATATATATATATATGAAGTTCTTTTATGATGTACAATATATTGACATTAATAATATACTGCAAATATTTATCAAAGGGCATAAGATTGCAGTAATTAAAACCACTGTGAAGACTAAAAATACTGTTTATTGCACAATGCCAGGGGCAGCATGGCATTATTAGCAGCTGGAACAGAGGCAACACTTTACACTTGGAAATTAATACATTTCTTGGACATCACAGCATTTGCCAAAGGCAACAGCAGCTGGTGAGAGAATGTACAATATTTATCAGTGTGTAAAATCATCATAATGGGACACTGCCCACCAGTCTCAAGAGTAAAAATGATTCCTGAAAAAGCAAATTCATGCATATATTCACAAAAGATGCTTAAATGTTTTGATGGTAGTGTTCCATGATGTCATGCAGTGAGTAAAGCACGGTGAATTAATGCGTATCAGGTTTTAAATGTCTCGAGCTTTCCATTCCTATATTGATTCCCAAATCTCACTGGCCTGATGCCTCTTTACCCAATAAAGTAAGAAATGGATAGTAATGATGTTTGGTTTTGTAATATGCATGTAAACTTGTAAACTAATATTATCAATGGACTTTAAACCAAGAAGGAAATTTTAACATGTTTATCATTCCTATATATCCCATAACCAGCAAAATACACATGCAGTTACAATGAGATTAAATGCAGTCAGCTGATAACATCAGGAGCAATCATTTACAGTAATTAATTTTATATATATACAGTAGGTTCAATTTTGCTCCCCCATGGGCCACACAAAATATAATGAATTGAAATCACAAGTTACCCACATCCCCTCTCCAGTATGGATTACAATTTTACTCCTGCTTGATACCTACTTGCTTGATGGGTTTCCGAGAGGAGTTCTACTCCCCAAGCCCGGCCCTAGACCAGGCTGGACTTGAGAGCTTGGTCCAACAGGCTGTTGCTTGGAGCGGCCCGCAGGCCCACATATCCACCACAGCTCGGTTGGTCCAGCACTTCTTAAAGAAAACCATCTAGTTTTCTCTTGAAGATGTCCACGGTTGTTCCGGCAATATTTCTTATACTCGCTGGGAGGATGTTGAACAATCGTGGACCTCTGATGTTTATACAGTGTTCTGCGATTGTGCCTATGTCACACCCTTATTCTTCACTGGTTCCATTCTGCATTTTTGATACGTATTTAAATAGGAGAAAATCTGGCAGCATTAAAGCTGCCACAGGACTTTCTTGCTTGACTCATTTAAAACCCAACATGCACTTTCAATACCTTCATGTTTATCATCCCTCTTACAGCCCAGAGGTGGTCTGTTGTTCATAGATCATATTGGTCTTTAACACCAAAAATGCTTTTGTGGATCAACGAGGATTGGTACAGAGTGAATGAAGTGAGAAGGGCAAACTAGACCAGCCACAGCGAGTCTGTACCACATTCCCGAGAGTAGTGCATTAAGATCAGGAAGATCCAAGTACCGGTAGATATTTTGCTGGCCAATAGATATCATTAGACTGAATATCAAGTGGGTTTCAGGTATACAGTACAATGAAATCAACTATCAACATATTAAAGATTGAGAAAACATGTTGAGCATTAAAATAACTGTAGCCAAAAACATACAAAACTAGCCTTGCCTTAATTCTGACCATTTAATTTGCTTTAAATTCTAGAGTACAGTATTGAATAATTGGCCAGGTTGTGATGTACACTAAATGAAATTTACCTCCTTGACTATAGCCAATACAGTACTTAGAGCGTGTATTATAGTAATTACCAGTAACTTCCATATCAATTGTTGACGATTGATGAATGTAGCAACACAAGCTTAAACTGGCATCCTACACTGATGAGAAAAACTAGCCAGCTAACAAAGTCAGATTTTCTCTTTAGTTTAGCTTAGCAATGTTAGTACTGTACTGTACAATATTGTGTTCTTTCCTGTAGACCTTTCCTACAGTCCTTTCTTACCCAGATTTAAAATCCCCTATAGCCTGATTGCCACAACAACTGGTTTCTGAACACGACAAAGGGCTTATCCATAAATAATGGAACACAGTCCACCTCTTAATTCTTTGACCAGAAAATGAGCTTCACAAGACACATTCAACATCTCTCCAGGTCGCCGGAGCATACAATCCTCCTTACCACATAAAGGTGGTGCGCCACGAGCGTCATATCCTGCGATTATCCCACCGATTCTGGGGTTGGTATTTTGTTGCCTATATTTGAGTCATTGAAATGTGCCTGTACACATCATTAGCCCTAAATAGAGGCACAATAGAAATCAACTCGCTAAGTTTGCTGATGATTAAAGTGCGCTTGCTAATAATTCAACCACCATCAATCTAGCACAAACCAGTACTGAGGTTAATACATCTAAAATATAAACTTAACATCTGAAGTTCAATGTGTACCCTCACCCATTGAAGGCTTGGCAAACCAGACTTACAAAATGCTACAATTCCCGAGTACTTCCAACTATCATGCCTAAATCTTAAATTTAAAATATTTCTAAACATATGCAAAATGGCACAATAGGAGCTTTATCACATCACTGTCATTTAAAAGTTGAAAAATATTAATGAGATTTTTAAATTTTATTAAAGAGAAATATTATAGGATGTAATAACCATTTGATATAAAAATACTGAATGCAATAAAGCTCCTCCTCAGTACAACTAGACATTCCCAAGCAACAAACCTTGTGTGTTCTGAAGTGGTAAACCCAATGGAAGAGCACCTGCAGTAGCAGTAAGGGAAGGTGGGTGTTGAGAAGCCTTTGGTCGTTGCCGGGGAGCAACCGAAGTACTCTCTATCACAGGTCCAGGAGCTATACGGTTCAACTTCACTGATGACTGCTGCTCTCTCTCACTCACAACTTGACACAGATGGTCCAGAGATGGCACGGTCACATTCTGAGGAAAAATTCCCATAATTGGTCCACAGATATCAGTCACATTCTGAGGAAAAATTCCCATAATTGGTCCATAGGTATCAGTCACATTCCATTTTAAAATTTAAGTGTGTGTTGATATCAAGCAATTTCCCATAATCTGCCAGTTTACATCTTGATGCCTGGCATCTTGCACACAAGAGGGGCAGCCATACTAGGCATCATCAAAATAAGCAACATGATTTTCAAGCATTTCACAGGTAAATTATAAAACAAACATTTAATTACCATTTCAGTTTATGAAGTTCAAGTACTGTACATTAAAGTGATCCCAATAGACTACCGTACTTTAAATGACAATTATGTTGAAGCAGTTCTTTAAAATCATTAAAATAATTTTCTTACTGAATTTCTAAGATTTATGCAGAATGTTTTTTGGAGGAACAAAATGTTGACCTTAGTTTATATGAACAAATGAAGAGCAATACACTTATCACACAACATTTCCTAATGCACTGTAATGCTCAAATTAGTCCAATTCATCCTGTCTTTTCCAGCAAGACATAACATTCTTAGATGTGTTTATTTTTTGCTCTCTCTAACAAAGGTCGGAGAGAACATCTCACTTTTGTACCTTTTGTACATTTATCTTTCCTCTGGAGTCATTAATTCACAATTTAATCCATTAACAAAAGTGACTAAAACTTACATTGACATTTCTTACGGGACACTCTCTCCCAGCCAGCTTAAAAGTCAGACTGGCAACCTGGTAGATGTCCGGCCGTGTATCGGGGTCTGGGTCCAACATGTAGCCTACAAACACAAATTAAGACATTGTTTTATTCATGTAACATATTGGCCACTGCTTATGGCTACTGGCAGGGTTGTATATACCAACAGAGGCTAATATCACCAAAATAAAAATAGATGCAAAATATGAATGCAGTTTTATTCCCAAATATTAACAAAGGACAATTAAAAACACTTTCCCACTGAACAAGTGCTACTTGTATTGTACTGCCATGCACTAAAACAGGAGACACGCTATAGAAGTACTTACGTATAAGTGCTTGTAAGTGTTTGGAGAATCTGGCATTATCCGGAATAGTGAAGTTCCCTGAAGAGATAGCCAGCGGACTCTCGGCAAATGGTAATGTAAAAAAACAAAGCTTGTATAACATGCATCCCAAGGCCTAAGGAAAGGAGAGAAGATAATCTTCAACATACACAAATTAAATAGAATAAATATAGCATACCAGGACAAATGTTTGTAATTTATTAATGTAACAAGTGTGAAAGATTTTGTTTTTTTATTTAAAACAGCAACAAAAAATTAATTTATTGCTATTTTGTATTTTACAAGTGACGTATATAATGAAATTTCCTTTTCCCTTCTCTGGGGCAGTATCAGCATGTTTTTAGTGCACTGGCTCTGATATTAGACAAGAACAGAACTACCAGGTCTCTGGATATTTGCAGGCCTACTGAAAACGGCAAGAGGAACACAGGGCTGCAAGATCATCATCAAACTGCCCAGTGAGCAAAGGTGAAGCAAAACCAGCTACATATCTTTATGAAATACAGAAAAGATGGAAACAAGGAAATCGGTAGTTTGCCCAATGTCAACAAATTATACACTAATATTCAAGCAAACCATCCGACAGAAGTTTGGGTCATGGGGGGGGGGGGGGTTAACCTGTGTGCCTGCCTGCCTCATGTACTGCCTCAAAAGTGCTTGTGTTATGCACATGTAAAAGGGGAGAAGAAAAAAAAAAGATAAGGGAAGCTACTACGGCTGGCCAAGAAAATGTGTTTCATCACAGTCGACGCTTAATTTTTGGATTGGCTTCCAGATGGAAACTCTTAATGGAAAGGAAACAAGTCTTAGGGCTAAAAGAAACAGACAAAGATGAAAGGCTGACCTGTGGGGCGAGGACAGAACCCAGGCTCGGGAAAAGATACACTTATCGACTGAAGAGGACAAGCAAGATGGCAGCATAAACAACTGTGAAAAGTAACAAAAAAATCCACTTAGTCCTTGCTGATGAGTGGGTGCCAGGAGTGCAAGTGAGGAGGCTGGTAGGTAGGGTTGGCCCTCGTGTAACCCGAGCTGCCACCTAGAAAAACCCTAACTTCCCCCGTTTCCTATTTTTTTTTTTTGGGGGGGGGGGGGGGATATCAAAATACAGTATAGTACATAGTATGTTTTAAAAAGTACACTATTTGAATCCTAGCATTCTGTTGGCGTGCAGGAAGGAATCTAGAGGTCCAGTAGTTTTGTGGATATATCTGGTACCAGAGCCAATGCACTGACTGGGTAGCTACTATGGGACAGTTTAGAAATGTTTGCAGTGATTTGGATAAAAAAATAATCATCACACATAATCCATTATCAAAATACCATTTTATAGCATGCATACTCCAGTACTTTTATTTGCAAGTATTTTGATATAAAATTTCTAGTTATAACACTAAAAATAACATACGACAAGAATATAACTAATTTAGACACCTCTGAGTGGAGCTCTGAGGGGCCCAGGATGTTTCCAGTCATTTGTGCAAAAAGAGGTCTAAATGCTAATGTTTTAAATCAGACCATTAGAAAAGCATAGAGACCAAGGAACCCACCCATATATCTGACTTCGTGGTAATGGGCCGGCCAAGGTACAAGTCGATCATCTCTGGAGCACGGTACGCCAGGGTTGTGTACCGCTGAATTTCCTCCTCGACTCTCGATATGCCATCAGTAGTGCCACATAACACCCGCGCCGTGGCAGAACCAAAGTCACACAAAACATAGTTACCTTCACTACTAATTAGGATATTTTCAACCTGCAAGGTAAAATTATTTTAAAGTAGATTGCAGATGCCTATGAAGTAACTAATACAAATGATCATTCCTCAAACTATTAGTAAAATTATATATATAAGCATGTCTATCTGCCTATACAGTTTACTGTATATTAATCTGAAATCATTTCAGAATAATCAACAGATGAAAAGTGTTTAATTACCCTAATAATAAGCCATAGACAACAAGTCCTTTTTATTTTCAACTTACAGTACTGTACTGCATAAAAAAAAATCATAGCCCAGAAATGATCAGTACTTTACCTTTAAATCTCTATGGATGATTGGGGGGTTGACGTGATGCAGCCTCGACACTGAATCACAAACATCACAGAAAATTTTGAGGACCTCTGCCTCAGTCAAGCCTGAGTTGATCCTGCAAGATGACAATGATATGATGTATATAACCCCAAGTAAAGGTTAGATCTTTAGCAGGCATAAAAAGATAGCAATTATGGAATAATAATATCCACTCAAAAATTACTATCTATAACTTTTCTTTTATTGAACCAAATTTGCATTACTCCTTGAAGCATGGTAAGGAAAAAGTTTGCATTCCAATCATATTGAATGGAAAGTTAAGCGATGGTAGTAACCATCGCTGGTGACTGGTCCACAAGCTCATTTAATGTCACTAGGCAATTAAGTTACCATTTGTGATATATAATTAGGTAAATTTTTTCTATATCATTTACTGAAATTCCAAATGCTTCTTATAGAATGTGTTAACTTAGTGATATAGATGATACTGAAATTACTATAAAGATTATCAAAAGATTGAGATGGCGTGCAGTGCACAAAGCAATCGGTGCACACACACACATCAAGACATAAGGAAACCCAAAGATTAATTTACCATAAGACACTAGGCACTAAGAAATGTGACTCAAAACGTGTTGTAATTGTGTGTGAACAGCAGTTGCTCATGCCAACAGGCCCTCACCAACTTCAAGCCAGTGGTCATTTCAGGATATAAAAGAACCACAGAATCTTGCCCAACTTAAACCCCACAGCTGTTAAAGTGACAGTTAAAATTGTAGAGTACTGACCTATCATTCATTAGGTGGAGGAGATGTTTTCTACAGTACGTCATAAGGAGAAGAACTTCGTAGACACCACTTCCAATGTGCGTGACACCAGAGTCAACATAGCCCACGACAGTTCTTGGACCGTTAAGCATTTTCTGAAAAATTCAATTTCTTATTATACTGTACATCACAATTTGAGTTTAACATGACTCTCAAAGTTAACTAAACTTTAACTAAATACAGCTAAATACACTATCTACATTAACATTTAAAATTACATCCTACAATATTCATATACAGCTCCCAAATACTGATAGTGAGAACAGATAAATACAAAAGCTAATCATTTATATGATAAAGGCCTATAAATTAGGAGATGCCCTGAATTGTAAATATACATTTAAATAATCTTGATGCCAAATGGAAACTCTTTGGCTTCTAAAATATATTTTAGAAGCCAATTATAAATATCTTTGTACTGTACTCAGCTTTTTCACCTTTACACTACAAAATATGATTTTTTCTTTAGTTCTGACACTATCCAGCTCAAGGCCAGACTTCCCAGGTAATTACCCAATAGGCCAGGATGTTGTTGGTGTTACTGTTGATAATTTATGCAGACAAGCACCAGCTAACACAGTTTTGATCAGGAGACCCTTGGAAGAAACCACTCAAATTCCCTCTAAAAGTTAATAATAATCCCCATATCTGCTGTTTAGGATGTATTTCCCCAGAAAGGCCCACACATGCAGGCTCTTTCCACTGCTGGACATCTAATACACTCATTCAACACATTCTCTTGAGCTATTCACACTTGCACAGCCTTATTCCCAAATTCTAATCCTGATTTGAAATACTTCCTAGTTAGAGGCAACACAATCCATGAGCATCACACCAGAGACAAATATCTTTGATATTCCCAGTCAGATTAAATCTGCATAAACACTCCAGGCAAAAAGGACCCAATACAGTGTATATGGAACTCGCTTCGCAATGAATTAAAACAAATTGTCCAACCTATACCAAATTTAAAAGTAGAACAAAAGAGTACTAACTTTCATCTTCTTATGATCCCACCTTGTGCTATTAACTCTCACAGTATCTTGTGTTATAACTCGCCCAGTTTATTACTAAAGAAATGCAACTTCATTAGTATAATTTATTCTATCAATTTATGTATGTACTTTCACAACCAATTATACCTTTTTGTATACAAAAAACACTTTCGCGCTCTCCGCAAAGGTCACTCAGCCAACCGAATGTGCGCGCTGCGTTTTTATCGCTTAAGCGTAAAAACAAAAATGTGTATACTCTTTTTACTCTTCTGACCTTAGTTCTCATGCTACGTATTTCATTTTGGTACCAACGTGTTCGCAATAAAATTCTCTAGAAGAATATTAGTAAAATAAGTCACGAAACATATAGGGATACCAGCACCAAATAAATAACTACGTAGATGACTCGCCGTGAGCGCCCATCAGCAACAAAATGTTTTTACTCTTGGGATTGTAATCACCTCCACACTTGTTCTACAGCGTTAATTTTGGTATCAATGGACTCGCAATGAAATTCCCAACACGGTGATATGAATATAAGCGTAGAATAATGATGCAGCCCACCCGCAAGAGTGTGGGAAGTGGTGAAATTGTTACCCGGTATCGGTGACGGGACGACGCTTTGAAAGTTTATACTTATTTCACTCTCATGACATTAATTTTCTATGTACGTCATTCATTTTTATGTCAATGTGTTCGCAATAGAATGTTCTATGTGCCCATAGGTAAAAAATATCAACAAAGCGTAAGTTAGAATAGCGACAAATATAAAACAACGCTGGAACATATCAGTGAGCGTCAAACACACACGAAATATTTTTACTTTTGTTATGTTTGTCAAGATTATACTTGTTGCACACAGTTATTTTTGGTTGTATATTGATCGGAATAAAATTCCCTAAACAGACATATGCATATAATACATGATATGGGGGAAGAATTACCAGTATAAACGGCTAAAGTCACCCACCTGCAACCCGTTTGGGACAAAATACCATTTGATCGAAGTTATCCACACCTTTCATGAACTTATTGTACCATGCAGCCTAGTGGTGAGAAAGAGAGCCTCATAGCGCACAGTTTGAAACAAACCCAAAGTAAATTGGATAAAAATTGAATTTTATACAAATATTTTAAAAGTAGACATAACTTTATGTCCACTATGCGTTTACGTTAGACGAAACCAAACGCGCCGGCGCGTCCAGATAGCGCGAAAGTGTTAACATGACAAGATATTTGTCACCTAATTTTTCAATCCAAAACTCACACCAAAGGCCATGACCCTGGACACCTGGTAAAACAGGAGTCAGAGGTTAATTAATGAAGACATTTTCGACAAGTCTACAGGTAAACCAATACCACGTAGACAAAAGATCGTCAACCAATGCCTCACAGTTCAAACTGTGTACATAGGTAACTGGGCAAATAAATCATGTAATCAATGAAGCATTCTTTCAATCAAAAAAGATAAATAACTTGGGTAAGTATCTGTTATTATACCACTAAGAGGCCTGTCTAGTATATAGACATGACCAGACGGAAACAAACGAGGACAGAAGGTTACTGGTAGGTTGTGGGGCAGATGGCACCAAAATGGGTGTTACTTTATTTAATATTTGTAATTTATTCTTTCCATGAGAATTTTTCCATCTCGTCCTGGAGGGTATCTCGTATTCTTATGAAAGTGGGTCACTGGATGATGACAATGACCAGCACAAGGTAAAGATGACAATTACTTTCCTTGAATGCTTATATATATTTTCCAAGAATTTCCTCAATTTTAATGTAATGACTTAACTTCTTTGCATAAATCTGTGATGTCGCTTTTTGCAGCCCAGCTTAAACTAGCTTGATCAGCTAGGTTATTGTTTACTGCAGCCTGCACACACACAACCATTTCACAACATGGCTGATTGAGCACAGCCCTGTAGGAACCTATGAAGCTTTCTCCTTAAGGTTTCAAGCTTCGCTCCAGAAACATTTCTTGTTTTTATTAGGCTGAATGGTCTTGGGTCCCTCATGCTGACATACTCTTGACTGTACTAAAGTACTCCCACTTTCCACAAGACTGATCTGATACCACCTACTATCTCTCACTTCTAAAATCTGTTACTGTAGTATGTAGATTAGGGACCTGACCAAATTTTATTCCCATATGTACACAAGGTACCTCTTGTCATCAACAATTCATTCAAGAAGTTCCATACTATACATTGCTGTGCAACTTGCAATGTTGTGTTGAAGACTGGGGTCATTTCAGAACTTACAGCAATGTTGATTTCATTGCGGGCCACCTCCAGGTCATGTTCGTTGTTGACATACAGGCGCTTGAGTGCAAATCGAACTCCTCCACTGCCCTTGACCAAGAATACTAAGGCAAACCCTCCTGTCGAAGAAAAAACAAAATTAATATAGTAACTAGAGATGTCTTGCTAAGAACAAGAAAACCTAATGGGACAGGAGCTATAATCAGAACTACCAGGGAACTATAACAGGTTCCTCAACACATGAGGCATAATAAATGCCTAGGAGACTGCATAGTGTCCTTGCTAGCTAGGAGGCAACATGCTGTGCTCTCTGGCTAGGAACATTAACTCCAAACTATTACCAAGGAGCACAGAAAACATTCGCATAATTGTCATTTCCTTCATAAAATAGTCATCTTCAGTAAGGCCAATTTGTATTAAAAAATGAGATGACTATGTAATGTGACTTTCTTAAGAAAGCTTATTGAAATCATTTAAGTGACCTCGTAGGCAGTCAAAAGTGAATATGAGAATTCCCATTAATAAATTATACTGTCTGTGATGGACTAGCATTTCTGGGAATGGAATGATGCCAATTCTGGCAACTACTGGAATATCAGAAAACCAATACAGCAGATACTAGTTATCCCACCCATCTGGAATGCTAGGAATCCAAGACACCAGCTCTGGCATTTAGTGCAATACTGGAAAATAAATTTTTGATCTAAATAGGGAAGGTGCTTCCCAAACTCATATAGACACTGCAAGCAATGAAAACATGACTCAAAACCATACATGACTTTAAATATATAATTTAGATAAAGAATTAAAGAAACAATTAAGACAGTAAATGTAGCACAATTTCACAGAAACCATATTCTAACATGATGACTCAGGATTGTAGGAGTCAAGTCTATCTTGAGATCAAGTTCCACAAAGATGCTCAAGTAAATAGGAATTCTAATATTTTTATATTACAAAATGCATCTACAGTGTTCATAAACAAAAATTAACTATTCAGACATTTCCAAAACTATAGTGAGAGTAGACAGTCAAGCTTTAACAACTAACTTAAAAATGAAGATCCCTAACCCACACACACTGCAGCAGCACTAGGGAAAGTCTATACATAAAACATTCTACTGACACCCACATCACCCACAGCCCAGGTAATACAGATAAAGGTGATGTAGCCAAAACAATACCTCCAGGTTATCACTCACCAATGACAACAGTCTTTTCTCATTTATTCAATTTAACAATTGAACTTACTCAAGGAGGCTAACAAAAGCCCTTCTTTCAATCCTGGAACACTAAAGAAACCCACAACACACTCCTGGAACTCCCTAGAGCCCTTCCTATAGCACACAGGATGCCCAAGAGTCCTTCCTACAGCTCACGGGGGCACCCAAAAGCCCTCTCTACAGCCCATGGGGCACCCAAGAGCCCTCCCTACAGCCCATGTGGCACCCAAGAGCCCTCAATACAGCCCATGGGGCACCTAAGAGCCCTCCCTACAGCCCACAGGGTGCCCAAGAGCCTTCCCTGTAGACTGGGGCACTCAAAGAGCCCTCTCTGCAGCTCCCAAGGCCCTGCAATAGTGCCTTGTAGTCCCCTAGGCTTGAAAGAGAACCTCTCATTTTCAAGCATATTAGAGTACAGTAGTTGGATCTGTCTGCCACTTATCTCTGCTCCAGTTCCAATACTTCCGGTTAAACCCACAGCCCAACACTGACACCCACAAGGCCAGCTGTCCTCAAACAGATATGCTGTCCTCACTGAACTCCTCATCACCCTTTACATACAAACATCCTCACCACCATACCCCAGTGGAAATGAAAGTGTATGAATTAGGCTCTTTCAAAGACACTAATGAGGTCAACTCCGCCTCTATAAGCTCAAACAGCTCTTCAGCTTTAAAATTTTTGGTAACAATTTATGAAGTAGAAGAAACCTGCAGATTGTCCATCTTGGCCTCAAACTGTGTGTCATTCTTTAGTTAAACCCCCAATCAGGATAAACTACATGCGAGTTTACAAAATTAGTGAAAGCTTACACAAAATTTCAAGGACAATGATATAAAATGTAAAACTCAAATTTGATTTTTTTTGACAGGATAACTCTCCATAGGCATTCATTACAAAAAAATAAGGTGAACAATTATAGCCTTAACACTTTATATAAAAAAATAATCAGGCTTGTGAATCAGAAGTTTCAAATGTGTATCAAACCAAGGTTACTTGCCCAAACCATTTGTTATGTGCACAGTAGTGTGTTACACACACAACACTGCAACATGAAGGCGAGGGCAAAGGTAACCAAACTTCGGACAGCCAGCAGAAAATTACCTCAAAGGCAGCATAATAGTTGCTACAAATGGAAATAAACAATCCTTTTTGGTTTGTGAACTAATAAACACACATTTAAGATACAGTACATAGCAATACAATACCTAGCACGAATACTGTACGGGTACTATATACAGAACATTATTTTGTTTATAAGTGTTAAACTGTAAGAGAGCGATGTTCGAACATTAGGCACTACACATGCTACCCACAGTGTAGTGTGAGCACTACCCACAGTGATAACCTCGGGCAGTGTGCAGACTACCCATAGTGACAACCTTGGGAAGTGTGAGGACTACCCACAGTGACAACCTCGGGCAGTGTGCAGACTACCCATAGTGACAACCTCGGGCAGTGTGAGGACTACCCACAGTGTAGTGTGCACACTACCCACAGTGACAACCTCGGGCAGTGGGCACACTACCCACAGTGACAACCTCGGGCAGCGTGTGCACTGCCCACAGTGACAACCTCGGGCAGCATGTGCACTGCCCACAGTGACAACCTCGGGCAGTGTGTGTGCACTACCCACAGTGACAACCTCGGGATCAACTCCTGGCAACAGTATATACAGTTACACTCAATACCAACCTATCAAGTTTCAATTACATCCTGCCACCTGCATACAACTCTTTGTTCTTTGACTAATAAGCATCCTGCTCCATAGCTATCTTAAATTGTAAGTTAAATTTTGATTGAATAATAAATATTAAAGACAGCCAATTAAAGCCAGACCTTTTATTTCTCCATCAAAAAGGATGACAGTATTGAAATGTAAAAAAAAAAAAAAAAAAAAAAAAAAGAAATAGTGGAGTAACACATGGTGTACCAGCCCCAAATATGTAATACAAGACAGCCCTGTTAGTGCTATTACTACCTCTATCCAGAGTTATAGGTGAGGCTTTAATAAAAAATTCAGCGTATTGTACAGTATTTTTCAATACCTGCACTAACCTAATTCCCATGTCCCTTCATAACAGCCCTCTACCCACAGTTCAGTGTCTGTGAAACAGTCACTGAACTGGTCCCACGTCAAAATAAGAATAGCTGATCGCATCCAAAACACCTTGCAATGTGGCTGAATTAAGGTACTCCCACCCTACCTCCATGGAGACGTGAGAATGAGGCAGTGATTAAGAGGGACAGTAATCAAGTGAACTGGACAGAGACCAAACCTGAAAGCCAGTTGGCACAAATAGCTGCAAAAAAGTCTATGAACTTCAGGAGTGGCAAACAACCTAAGAACATCAACTGCAACAACAGACAAAGAAGTGGATGAGGGAAACCCAGATAGAGAGAGATCTGAGACAGATTTTGAACTGTCCAGAAACAATTTCCTGCAAATAGAATACTGTTGCAACAACATATTAAGGTCCCACAGAGATAAACTGAGGCAGACTCCTAGTCATCCACATGCAAATGACAGCCAAGCCACCACCTGGCCAAGTAAAACAAAAGAATGTCTGCCAGCAAGATGAAGCTAGGATCTTACACAAGCAGAAGTGGAACCATACTCAAAGGAGGATGGATCCAATTCTCTCTCAGTCTCAGTTTTGTAACACGTACTGAAGCAAGCTCAACTAAGCCACACAGTCAAAGGAATACAAGACAATGGAAATCTGATCAAGGGTTGTGGTGGGGAAGGGGGCATCCATCCTGGCCACAAACAGACTGAAATGCACCAATAGGGGTAGCAGACCTGGTGTCCAGTTTGTCCCAGGGCAGAATATAAGAAAACATATTCATTTAAAGCAATATACTTTCAGCGGCAGGAACTAAGCTACAACGCTCAAAGGGTAACCATGGACCTCAATGACCCCAAGACCTTTCCCCGTCAAATATGAGGAACGACCAGAGAGGGAGCATACAGTAGATCGTGTTTGGAATCTCAAACAATTTCTTAAATATGAAAGAGACAATGCTCTCTCTAGGTTCATAACTACATTCTTGAAGAACTTGGCAAATACTTTGTCAGCTTCAGGAGATTTGTTAGGCCTTAATTTTTCTATTTGTTTAATAACTTTCTCCCTGGTAACCATTAAACAGTTCACACTGTCCACTTCACCACCAAGATTTGTTCAACAGTAAAAATATAGTTCTCTAGTTAATGGGGGAAGTACTTATTTAGAATGCCATCAATTTGTGTTATTTAACTTGACCTATCTAGTTCTTCAAAGGCCCATTCTTCTCCCTAATCTTTGTGTGATATACTGTGTGTCTGATAGAACTTTTAAGGATTTGTTTTTGCGTGCCCTGTTAAATATATATTTTACAGTTTTGTTTGTTTCTCTTCTAATATAATTTAACTATTCTTGATGTTCAATAAATTTTTGTTCTTCATCCACTTCCCAAATCTTAATTACCGGTAGTTTGTAATTATTGACCTGAATTTACCCGAGGGCCACCAATACTAGTGACCTCGACAAGGACAGGAAGCCAGCAGCTTGTCAAAGGTCCCCCTTACTTGCCCAGTTGATGTTTTCTAGCTGTATTTTAAAACCCAGCAGAGTTCTGGCATTTACGGTTTAAGCGGTTAGGCAGTTCCACAGGTTTACAACCCTTGGTTGTATACCCTAAACTGAGGTACAGAAACTAACCTATTTGTTTGTTACAATACCTATTACTTCTGTTCAGAACGATGGACTTAATTTATCAATTTTATTTCTAACACTCCTATTATTAATTAACATACTTAATAGTGGTAAGTGTATAGTCTTTACCAAGTTTTTATCCACTTTCCCAGCAAAGTAAATCATATTTACAGGTTTTCTCCTGCCAGTATGTCACCTTTGTATCTTCTCTCCTTAAGTAAATTCCCATAGTGCACTTACTTCTTCTTACAGAAGAGTTCATAGTTGTCACTGTGCCACAGTCCCCGTGGCTCAGTGGTAAGATTCTCGACCCACACTTCAAAAGCCATTTGGCCTGGATTTGTATCCTGGCCAGGGAGGATTGGTTAGGTGCCAATCCTTAATTGTATGCCTCTGTTCACCCACCAGTGAATGGGTACCTGGTTGTTAAATTATTTGGCGGGTCGTATTTTAGAGAAAATTAAGATTAAAGGAAATGCCCGAAATGCTATGCATGATAGTGGCTTTACAAGAATGTAAGAACTCATGAATGTAAGAATGTAAGAACTCATGAATGTAAGAATGTAAGAACTTTACAAGAATTTAGAATGAAACTCTTGTATATACTGTATAAATAAAAGAAAAAATTATTTACATTGCAGTTGCCTTGTGATATTTGTCAAGTCGGTAATTGACGTTGATAGCCCTGGATAGCCACTCATTTCCAGCTTCCCTTCTTGGGAGAATGTCACATATGATTGGGATCTCTCATTTCCTTTTGATTTACTGAATAGTATATAGCTGTCCTATACTTTTGCTCTAGTGCCTCACTCCTAATTTTCACTATCATTTCCACCAGAACCCAAACACAACAGTTTGTTTCACTTCCAGCTACATAATTGCCCATACAGAATTTCTAATACTGTACTGCGTTAAGTGGCGATGCCACTTACACTTATGAAACACCTCTTGGTACCCAAACACTGGCATGAAAATTATTAGTGGTATTAATTAGTGGGCAATAAGCAAACATTAGACGATACTGCCTTAAGTTGTTAAACTTAAGTAATAAAACTTTCAAGTTGCAGTGCTTGACAAACTTCTGTAACAGTAAGCTGAAAAGGCGTATCAAATGAAAGGAAACATTTCACATTTTTTAAAGTACTGTACAGTACCCAGTGTTGTATAATGCAGGTCCACCTCCCTCCCTGACTTGGGTCACCTCTGACCACTTCCCCGCTGACCGAGGTCACTACTGACCACCACCTCCCCTAACCCGGGTCACTACCGACCACCTCCCCCTGACCCGGGCCACTACCGACCACCTCCCCCTGACCCGGGTCACTACCGACCACCTCCCCCTGACCCAGGTCACTACCGACCACCTCCCCCTGACCCGGGTCACTACCGACCACCTCCCCCTGACCCGGGTCACTACCGACCACCTCCCCCTGACCCGGGTCACTACCGACCACCTCCCCCTGACCCGGGTCACTACCGACCACCTCCCCCTGACCCGGGTCACTACAGACCACCTCCCCCTGACCCGGGTCACTACCGACCACCTCCCCCTGACCCGGGCCACTACCGACCACCTCCCCCTGACCCGGGCCACTACCAACCACCTCCCCCCGACCCAGGCCACTACCAACCACCTTCCCGTGACCCGGGCCACTACCGACCACCTCCCCCCGACCCGGGTCACAACCGACCACCTCCCCCTGACCCGGGTCACAATCGACCACCTCCCCCCTGACCTCCAGTGACCCAGGGATCACAAAGACACCTCCCCTGACCCAGGGTCCTTAGTGACCCCTCTTCCCTGACCTCCAGTGACCCAGAGATAACACTGACCACCTCCCCTGACCCAGGGGCCTTAGTGACCCTCTCCCCTGACCTCCAGTGACCCAGGGTCCTTACTGACCCTCTCCCCTGACCTCCAGTGATCCAGGGTCCTTAGTGACCCTCTCTCCTGACCTCCACTGACCCCGACACAACACTCACCCTCAGCTATGACCTCCTCGACGGTGACAGTGTGGCGCCCCACCACGAACACCTTGCCCAGGAAGCTGGTGTGGCTCTGGTCCTTGTTTGACTGGTCTATCCTCTGAAACAGCTTCTTCATCTTGCCCGCGAATCTCAGACAACCGAGAGGCAACGTTTGGCGGCACTCATAGATTGACAGGTCCCATAGCGATCGCTTGACCGTCAATCAGACAGGACGGACTCTCATTCGTGGTCAAGACAGGGGGGGCAGGGATGATGATGGGGGTGCCGTCCCACCACTTTTCAGCCTCTCCTGTCACCCCAAATTTCACACCCGAATCGCACCTAACTGGAGCCACTTCATGCCAGGAGGAGTGTGACGGGTGGCACTAGGGAGTCATGGTGGCGTGGCGAGGACGGGAGGAGCGAGAGAGACGGGAGGAGCGACAGACGGGAGGGTCACTAGTGCCTCAGCTGAGCCTAAGATGGCTGCTTCCGGTCGACTCCCGTCACAGAAAACGTCCCACTTACCAACACACACTCAAGTGTTTTATAATAATAATAATAATAAATAATAAATGTTTATTCAGGTAAGGTACATACATACAAGAGGTTTTACAAAAATTGATAGATTTATAGATAGTACATACAATGCCTAAAGCTACTATTACGCAAAGCGTTTCGGGCAGAAACGCAAAAAAAGCTTTTTTGACGGCCCGAGAGTATTTACTTATCTATATACATATATACAGGAAGTTACAAAGTTTGTATGTCTTTGAAGTATGTCCCCGAGTGTGTCCTCCTAATCTCTTTCCCGTGTCTGGCTGTACAAGTTACGGAAGGGTTATTAACGGGTCACACAAGTGCTTACTGCCCATTCAGCAAGTATATTCTGGTACTCAACATAGTCCAGAATTTAGGTAAACTGTATACGTCGATAAGTTGTGGAATACGTCGCTTTTCTGGAATACTAATACTATTTTATTTATATAAATACATAGGATCACTTACAATGATTGCTTAGAACGGTGCAGTATTTGTATATTTTACAAACCACTAATTGTATATTGGGAATTATCAGTATGTCTGTTTTTTTATTAACAAGCTTTGGGGTACACAGCAATGTGCTGCTACTCTATTCTATATGAAAGAATACTCAGTGTAGATATAAAAAACTAGCTATAAGTTCATCTAATATTAAGTACTATTGATTTGCAAAAACAGTTGTTCTTTAAAGCATTGAACTGCATATTCAGAGTTAACATTTATACTGTACTTAAAAATTAGTTGTGACCTATTTGAGTCCAATTTTCATGCACTGACAATCAGAACTTTTCATAAAATAGTTAGTCGAAACCATGCCTTTGCCGAGGGTAGATCAGGAACTTAATCTAAATCTCTAATCACCCACACCCATGCAGTCGGGCTCGTTCCCAATTCACAGTCGGGAATTCCTGGTTCGAATCCCGGCAGTTAGTCAGCTTGTTGTCGGATTGCATCGAAGTAGTTAGTTTAGTAAAAACTAAACTAACTAGGGAGGGGTCGACCTTGGGGTAACCTCGATATAGGCCTAAAATGTATATATACATTGGCTGCCTGTCCCTCGACACTATTACAATGACTCAATTAATATCTCACCTTTATTTATTAGCTTAAGGATCTGCCTGAAACGCTGTGTGTGTTAATGGCTTTGCCAGACTGTAAGAACACTGATATTATGTACTCTTATAACCCAATGTACCTTCTTGTATATAAATAAATAAATAATTTGTTTAATTACTATTGAATTATTATTATTAACTGTAGATCTTGCTTAATCCTGTAGGGCAGGGTGTAGAGGCTTTGGCGAATATATCTTACCTGTAATCTACCTTTACCCCCTAAATGTCAACCCATGTCTTGCTATTTTCAGACAATAGTTTGTTGACCGACTTGTATAACTGCTGATTTCCGCCACGTTTTTTTCCTTTTTGCCCTTTTCAACTCAATTTATGCTTTGATGTCATTAGTATTAGGTTTTAGTCCAAGTGTTTTTCACCATACCTTGCTCGAAACGCTGTGCGTATTAGTGGCTTTAGGCATTGTATGTACTAGCTCTATCTAGAAATCTACCATCATGTTTGTTAACTCACCTTGTATGTATGTACTTTTACGTGATTAAACATTTGATTTGATTTGAATATGTTGTCACCATGTTCTCAGTAATCAATACATAACCTCTCCCACTCTACCGGTGTGCAGGACAAACATATCAATTGTGACACTAGCTCTCCACATGTCAGTTATGGGCTACTCAATGTATTTTGCAACTTTCCTATAGCCTAGTCCTTGCACATAAATTTTCTCCGGCGCCTCACCCTTTACCAAGGCAACAACCTGGCTTTGTTTGTCACCACGAACACTGTTCCTCTTTGCCCATACAACATTATCATTGTTGAGAAGAAGACAGTCAGGATCCAAATAAGTTGGAAATGTAAAAACTATGATCTTTGTGTGCACCATACCTTCTTCCGGAGTAACCATCACAATGTTCTGAAAACCAACCGTCGTGAGGCGTTCCACGGCCTTTTCTGTCCCAACTGTTATGTATGGCCGGTGAAGACCCTCCTTGAAGAGTGGTTCATATTCCAAACACTCCTTAGCCAGACGTACCGTCCACTATAGCTTTTGGTGGAAGTTCAGCTGGCATGTTGTAGGGAACAACAGCCTCATTCTTCTATTAAAATGCTTCACTTGTCTTGCTGAGTAGGGTCTCATTTTTTGGTCTCTTTGTTATTTCATCCTTACTCTCACTGTCTCGCTGTCTGTTAATATTTTGCCGTTTATTCTTGTTCATTACTACTTCAACCGGTCTGTTATCATCTTGTCTGTCCTCACTACCACTTAGGCATACCGCCTCAGCCATTTCCTCGATACTCAAAGGCACTGTCAACAATCGAGAACAAATTCACAATATCCTGTATCACCACGTGCAAAAAAGAAGAGTGTGGGGCAATACTCCACCTCCCACCAAGCAGCGGACGCCAAGAGAGCCAACACTGCGACCGCACACAACCGCGGTTCGGTCACCATCCGTATCCTGACCCCTTCCCAGTGCTATATAGTCGTAATGGCTTAGCGCTTTCACTAGATAGTTCCCCCCTCCCCCTGAATAATATTACGAGAGCAGTATTTACGGGCTATTCATGCCTGTGCCACCTCTTGGGTGGCTTAATCTTCACCAATCGAGAGCCTTTATAACACCCACTGTCCTATGCTAACAGATTCAGATTCAGATGTTTATTCAGGTAAGGTATATACATACAAGTGATGTTACATTAATGGATTGATATATAGATAGAGCTAGTACATACAATGCCTAAAGCCACTATTACGCAATGCGTTTCGGGCAAGAAAACATTAATATCTAGAACCTAACACTAATTGAGCATAAAGAATAAAAAGTGTTGAGAACAAATACAAATAAAGATAAAAAAAGGGGGAACATGACTGAAAAAGCAGCACAAATACAATAGGTTGACAAACAGTGTTGATTAAAAAAAAAAAATAACAGACATGGGTTGACAATAGAGGAGTGAGGTAGATTACAGGGAATTTATTAGGTAGTGTTTAGTTTTTATCTTAAACTGGTTGAGAGAGGTACAGTCTTTAACATGGTTGGGAAGGTCATTCCACATTCTGGGCCCCTTGATTTGCAGAGCATTTCTAGTTTGATTAAGACGTACTCTAGGAATATCAAAACTGTATTTATTTCTGGTGTGGTGCTCATGGGTTCTGTTACAACCTTCTATGAAGCTTTTAAGATCAGGATTGGCATTATAGTTTAGCGTTTTATATATGTATAATACACATGAGAGAATGTGCAGTGACTTAATATCTAACATATTCAGAGATTTGAGTAGGGGTACCGAGTGATGTCTGGGGCCAGAGTTGGATATTGTTCTAATAGCAGCTTTGTGTTGGGTAATTAGAGGACGTAAGTGATTTTGGGTAGTAGAACCCCAAGCACAAATACCATAGTTGAGATAAGGATAGATAAGGGAGTAATAGAGAGTCACCAGGGCAGGGCGTGGTACATAATATCTGATCTTAGAAAGAATGCCCACAGTTTTTGAAACTTTTTTTGATATATTTAGAATGTGTCCCTGGAAATTCAGCTTGTGGTCAATGAGAATGCCAAGGAATTTGCCATCTAATTTGTTACAAATTTGGGTATTGTTGAGAAGAAGACAGTCAGGATCCAAATAAGTTGGAAATGTAAAAACTATGATCGAAAACTATGATAGTAATAACTATCATAACGAAACAAGTCACAACCAAAAGGCTAAACAATCCTTGGCTTACAAAGGGAATACTTAAATCCGTTATTAAAAAACATGACCTTGAGAAGAAGTATAGGTTAGGAACCGTCTCCAAAGAATTCTCAAAGAAATACTCGTTATTGCTATCTAAAATAATTAGACGAGCCAAAACTAAATACTACGAAGATAAATTTACCCAAATAAAAAGCAACATTAAAAAAACTTGGAGCACAATTTCACAAATATTGGGATCAAAGAAGATTTTAAATAACAAACCAACACTTCTGTCCAATAACGATGGTCAGCTTTTAGCCTCTGATTCTGCTATTGAGTTCAATAGGTTCTTCTCTTCCATTGGGTCATCCCTTGCAAATGATATTCCATCTTCCAGTACTGATGTTAAGGACTATCTTACAGGTAACTATCCACAGTCTCTGTACCTAAAGCCTACAAATTCCACTGATGTTAATGAGATAATCCTTTCCCTTAAAACCAAGTCTAGTACCCTTGAGGAGATACCAACTTTAATTTACAAAAAAGCCTCCAGATCTTTAGCCCCTGCTATTGCATTGCTCTTCAACAAGTCACTTGAACTCCAAACCTTTCCAGATATTCTAAAGAAAGCGAGAGTAACCCCTGTCCACAAATGTGGTGATCTCACAGATGTTAACAACTACAGACATATATATCAATCCTGCCTAACTTGTCAAAAATATTTGAAAAACTAATCTACAAGCAGCTTTACTCTTATCTAGCCAAACACAATATACTTACCTCTTGTCAATATGGCTTCAGACCCAAAAAAAGCACTAACGATGCACTTATTAGTATGATTAACTTGATTCATGCAGCTCTTGATAAAAATGAGTTACCTGTTGGGTTATTTGTGGACCTGCGTAAAGCTTTTGACACTGTCAACCACCAAAACCTTCTTCTTAAGTTACATCATTATAGAGTCAGAGGACACTCCCTGCAATACCACAAATCCTACCTAACTGACAGGCTCCAGAATGTTTCTGTGAATAATTCAATTTCTCCCACCCTACCCATCAACATTGGTGTTCCTCAGGGAAACATACTTGGCCCTCTCCTCTTTCTCATCTACATTAATGACCTTCCAAATGCCTCCCAACACCTCAAACCAATTCTATTTACTGACAACACAACCTTCATTTACTCCAGTCCTGACCCCCTTGCTCTA